CGGTGCTGGGCCACAAACACACCCAGGAGGGTGTGAGCACGCAGCAGAGGAGCAGAGCAGGGCTCTGCTGCGCAGGGACGCCCAGCCCCAGCACTCACCTGGCGTGCCGGCATCCCACCTGCAGGAACCCGACGTCCAAAGGAAGCAGGTATTTCACCCACTTGGCTCACTGCCCTGGGGTGGCAGCCCATGCCACGGGGACACCATCCTGCGCTGCCACAGGAGCTGCGGGAGAGCTGGCAGAGCAGCAAGGGGGGGTGATCGTCCTGACCCTGTGTGCAGCTGAGGGGGAGAAGGAAAGGGGCTGCCCATGCTGTCCCCATGCTCCGGAGAGTAGGAGTGGGAAGCCCAGGGCTGACTGCATGGGGGAGATGTGGGGTGTGAGGCTGGGAGTGGGGCGTCTGGGCCAGGCTGTGCTGCTCTTGCTGTTTTGGGGTCACCCTGTTCCCCATGTTGACCCAGGAGCTCTGCCCTCCCTCCTGTGAGGTCAGGGGACAGCAGGGCTGGGTGTCAGCTCCTGCTGACCTGCCCAGTGGCACACAGCCTGGGCTGGCTCAGCTCTGTGAGGGCAAGGGGGTCTTGCCCTGCCCATGGCCACCTGGTTGTCCTGTGCCAGCACCCCTGGGGCACAAAGGTCCTTGCAGGGCTGCAAGGGCACACTGCTGTGTTGGTGACTGTAGCAACGGGTTTGTCACCCCTTCAAGTTCCCTGTGCCCCCCACACTAGGGCCAGGGGTGTGCTGTCGGGGTTGTTTGGTGGGAGCTGAAGGAGGGCTCCTTCCAGCTCTGACAGACCCCCAGCTCCTGCTGTGCAGCTCTCCCCTTGGAGCCAGAGCAGAAGCTGAGCAGGGTCTGTTGTGTGCCCAGCTCAGCTCTGTTTGGGACCTGTGCCCGGTGCAGGGGTGTTGTGTAATAACTACTGGTTCTGCTGCTGCAGCCCCACTCTGAGCTGGGGAACAGCATGGCATTTTCCCTCCAAACCTCCAGACAGCACCACTGGCATAGATTTGTGCCTGGTCCTGTGCTACTGCTCTGCCAAGCTCCAGTCCTGGCAGCAACTGTGTCTTGAAGCTGCTGAGTGCTGAAGTTCAGCTGGTGGCTACAG